GTTAACTCCGGTTGTGTCCATCAGCTGTCCTGAAAAAGAAAATCCAGTTTTCAAAATCAAATATTGTTATATTACATTACGTTTTCACAGCATTATTACTACATTATCACATACTCTACTACAAAATCATTTATATATAATTATTGTGATTATTTATTTTTTTTGGAAACCTGTCGAAAAGTAGCACTGCTTGCTCATAACTTGAAATACGCATTTAAAGACATGTTATGTACATTGCACAGTTCGTCACCGTAAAGTCTTCAAAAGATGCACCCTGCAAACATATTACGATCAGATTCTCGACGTTGCGGATTGTAATGAATTCATCTTCAAGGAACAGCTCAGATTAAATATATACTGACACCCAAATATTATAAAAAGTATATACATATGCAATCTTCCAGAGGTTTTATATAACGAAAATAACAATAACAGCGTGCAAACAGAAGTGCATATGCAAACAACGTCTTGCATATTCTAAATTTTGCAACCAACGGTTGAATTAAAAGTTATTTCGAATCTAGGGTGCACAGTATGACGAATGAATGGGTCAAAGAACAAATAAGAGTCTGCGATGTCATAGTCAGAGTGAAGTTGGCAACGGAAAGTAAAGTAGCAATGGAAAGGATATATTTCAATGAGAACTGACTATTGCATGACCAGAGGCATTACACTCGGTTCCAAGAGAGCATAAACGCCCCGCAGAAATACCTGTAGATCGAAGCAACATGAGCTGAATAACTTCGCTGGATGAAGATGAATAATAATCGCAGAAAACAGAAGTTTATGACAAACTCCTAGAGAAGCCTTCATGCACCAGTGAATAGACAAAGGCTAATGACGAGGAAATCTACTTTATTTTAAATAATGCATTTAATGATCTAACTGAAGTATCATTAGCAATTTAATTAATAACTGTAAAATGTTATACATCGTGTTACGTGGGAGAATAGAGAGGTTGTTGCACGTCTTTCTGTATCAGAGGAAGTAGCAAAATGACGTCGGGGGCAAAAACAGTGGTTAACGAAAGGAAAGGTTGTAATGATGTACTACTGCACCATCGTGGAGGCGGGACACGGGTTATCGAAAAAGTGCTAGGAAGCTCTATCACTTCAGGGACGAAAGCTATCAGAGTCTAGTGTACACAAACGGTTCATTGCGAGGAACATGCTGCTAACAGAATTGGAGTTAGATGAATTCAGAAGAGCGCTTAATAGCGACACCACTGCGCAAGAGGATCAACAAACTCAACATATTCGTGAAATCATCTGGACAACCCATGTGACCACAGATCGTAATGGTTGACGGGACAGAAATTATTCAGCTGAATGATAAAGAAAAATGACTTCGACAGGAGATCTTTCAGGAGACTGAACAGCTTAAAGAAAATAGATGAAAATCACTCCTATAAAAGTCAAGAAGGAATTGCATGAATATATGAGTGAAGCTAACGGTGTCCTAACGACGACGCAAACCAGTAATTTGGAAACCATCAATAGTGTGATATGCGCGACAGCCCTTATGGCAAAGAAGAAACTTTGCGTTAAGCGGAAGCAAATTCAAGAAGAAGAAAAGGTCAACCGTAGTTAAGAAGAGTCAAAAACAAATAGGAAGAAATAAGCTGAGAAGCGAATAAATTATAATAACTCAATAGGGGCAACATAAAGATATCAACGAAGAATATAATAAAAAAACTGAAAGGAATGGACCAAACAAAATAATCAGAGTTACATACGAGGATGTTAAGCAGAAGGCTGCTAGTTATATAAGCAAAGCTTTGGACATATAAGAGTATGAAGTTTTCGTGCAAAACACAAAATACCTTTTATAGAAAACATGTGGCAAAAAACAAACTAGCAAGTAATGTGGAGATCGTTGGTACTAGCACAAAAGAATCGCTTCAGTTCCGAAGAAGAATATAGGACAATGATAAAACACACATCAGAGAAGCTAACTGCATAAAGGAAATACAACTGAATCCAAATGAAATCTTCGAGCAAAGAGATGTCACAGTCACTGACAAGAATATGTGCGAGCCGCTCAAAAAGACGAAAAAACTGGCCAACGCCACGCCTTAAGCGGCAAAGTGTTCATGCTATCGAATATAGTATTCTTGTAGAAAGTACATGAAGAACGGTTACATTTTTGGCTAATGCAAAGAGTGTTACACAGAGTCTTGAAGGACGAGAATAGAGGTTATGACGAAGTTAATAACTACAAGTCGATCACGTGCAGACCAGAAACTTTAAAACTCCTGATGTCTGTATTTGCCAGCATAGTTTACGAGCATTTCGAGGCGAACAACATATCGTTTCCTGAACAAAAAGCGTGGCGGATGAAATCAAAGGAATGCAGAGATCACTTACTCGTGGAAAAGATGCTACTTCGGGTTTGCAAAATTAGAAAGACCAACGTGACCATAGCCTGGATCAACTTCAAGAAGGCATTTAATCTGGTATCACATAGCTGGATCCTGGAATGTCTGGAAACGACTTGATAAAGTTCGTCGAAACATCGATGAACCAGTGACGAACAACGTTCTTACGTAAGAGAGTCTCGCGGGGATCGGTGAAGATCAATCGAGTAATCTTCCGGGGGAATTTAAAGCTCGCCGCTTCAGTTTTCTCAGGCATTGAATTTGCTCAGCTACATGCTGAATAACACTAAGAAAGGATAAAAGTTGAAAAATGACAGTGTAATAGCTTATTAACTGCAAAATGACAATCTGAAGTTATATGTGAGATCGGTAAAAGAGCTGAATAATCTTATCCAAAGTGAACGAATCTTTTCGGAAGATCTCAGGGTG